GATCCACCCGCCTCGGCCTCCCAAAGTGCTGGGATTACAGGCTTGAGCCACCGCGCCCGGCCACATTTTGTTTTTTAAATGTAGAAAAATATGTTTTATTAAAAGCCAGATTAATACTTAAACAGTCTCAGATATCTACCTGAAATGAAACAACTTCTATCAGTTCATTGACATGACTCTAAATTTTCAGTAGCAAAATATATTTTGTGAATGTTTCATCCTTAGTGCTGAAATCTATTTATCCGGTATCATAAAAGGAATGGCTTGCTGTATGCCCAGTTCAGAGCCAAATTGTTATTTTTTTCAGTAGTTTTCAGTAGAGTTGACTCTAGCACTGAGTTTGTTAACACGAAAATATACATGACAGTTTGGGGGCTATTAATTTTATTTTACAATTTTGCTATAAAGGTTACATGAACAGAAAATTTCAAACAGTATCAGATTAAAAGTGATAATTTCTATTCATTATGATGTCTTTGCTTATGTGGATGCCTTGTTTTTGAAGCAGAAATTATTTCAACATGGAAAACAGTTATTTTATATTAGGTGGGTGTATTGGTAGGCCTTGAGTTTTATTCACATTGATTCAAAGTTACTTAATAACTCACTCGTGAAACATGCTATTATATTGCCACTCTCTCAATTTGATGTATAAACTCTATGTTGCAGTTCTTTTCTATATTTTCCTTTGAAAGAATGTACATTTTTTGAGCTTAGAGACTTAAAATCTATAAACACAACAATTTTGCTCTGAGAAGCATTCTACTTTCTATAGAAAAATGAATTGATAAGCACATTTGGAGAAAGTGCTTCCTGAATTAATGGTATGTCCGGCTTCATTTGAAATCATGTTTCTTGCAACTGTTTTTTTTTTCTTTCTACTTTACAGGTTGGTTTTTCTTCTTTACGGGAATTACGGCAGCATCTCTTGCTTAAGGAAAAAATTATTTCAAAATCTTACAAAGCTTTAATAAACCTGGTTCAAGGAAAAGATGATAATACATCAAGTGCAAAGGAGGTAAAAGTAATCATATGACCATTTTTATAATTTTATGAATTGAAAATCTGTAAGCTATTGAAGAGTTATATAAATTAAAATATTAGAATACATTAGAAAATGCTGCTCAGTGGATCAAGAAAAAAAGTAGCAGAGGTTATAATGGTGGACTTCTATGACACTGAAAAAATTTGATTAAGGAGCCAATATTTTATTGGTTTATATGTAACTCTGTAGCAAATTAAAATTTCAGTTATCAGGAACCTTGGGGAACAAGTCATTTTGTTAACAGTAAATTTAACTGTTAAACTTTTTTACTTGTATTGTTTGGATAGAAATTACTCATAGATGAATTATGTATTTCCTGACTTATTTTTATTTATTTATTTTTGAGATGGAGTCTCGCTTTTTTGCTCAGGCTGGAGTGCAGTGGTGTGATCTTGGCTCATTGCAACCTCCACCTCCCTGGTTCAAGCAAGTCCCCTGCCTCAGGTTCCCAAGTAGCTGGGATTACAGGTGCACACCACCACTCCTGGCTAATTTTTTTTTTGTATTTTTGGTAGAGACAAGGTTTCACCATGTTGGTCAGGCTGGTCTAGAACTCTGACCTTGTGATCTGCCCACCTTGGCCTCCCAAAATGCTGGGATTACAGTTGTGAGCCATTGCACCCGGTTTCCTGACTTCTTAAATACAATATACTGAGTATTATTTAACTTTGTATTGGTGATGACATCATTTTATTATTAATATAATGATTGATATTTTAGTCTGTTGCATTGTTTCTTTCTAAGGATATTTTTTCCTCAAGTAAATATTCCTACAGTGCTGTGGGTTTTTTTAGTTCTTCTATCTGCTTTTCATAATTTTAATCTCTTCTTCCTTGTGGCTGACCATCATAAGAACCTCCTCTGGTCCCTTATGTGGTAACTTACACCAGTACATTAATGTAGGAAGTTAGCAAAAACTGCTGAAACTTCATAAAAACAAGACATGCATATTAATTTCATACAGAGAAAGACACAGCATAGCAGCATTATAAGTAAATTAATAAGAGCTGGACTAATGTTGCATTTTATTCCCTCCAGTCACTGTAGTGCCTAGCTCTGACTTCCTTCTGGATTACGCATTCTTGTGATGGCCTATGCTTTGTATTTGTATTTCAGTCTTAGCCATATGAGAGTTTGGGTCCAAAATATGATCTTGTTAATGTAATAAACCATAAAAGAAACACATTGGGTTGCATTTCTATATTACTGTTCTAATTTCCTGGGAAACCTTATGAAAGTCATTGTTAAAATTGTTTCCCCATTTCTTTTCCTCACCTCAATGATTTTGCCAATTTTAGAAAGGGGAAGGAATGTTTAGAAATTAATATATTGAAACTGCCATGTGCAAGGCGCCATTTTTGGCCTTTTACATTGTTAGTTTTAAAAGCAAACCTGGCAGGTAGTAAAAATTTCCCCAGGTTTCAGATGAATAGCCTGCTTCAGAACTCAGAGCTACTGGCAGAAGTGTCACATTCCTGGGAACATATTTAGTCTCCTATTGTGTGAATGCCCCTATCTTTTTTCAGTAATTACCACATAGAGAGTCAATATAGGGTAATAGTTAAGGAAGAGCATGGGCTGTGGAACCAGTCTGCTTCAGTTCAAATCCCAGCTCTGCTACTTGCTGACTGTATGACCCTGGGCAATTTACTTAACTTCCTTGAATCTAATCGTTCTAATCTATAAAATGTAGATGATAACAATACAGACCTAGGGTACTAGGGTTATTGTGTAAGTTAAATGAATTGATACATGAACGGCATTTAGAACAGCGCCTGGTATAAAGTAAACACTCAATAGATACTACTGTTTCTAATGTTATATATCCATATGTGTGTGGAAATGAGTATGACTTGGACTTTAAGAGTAAAATTTTAGCAATAAGCTCTAAGTACTCTAAAGTTAGTTTAATTAGTTTTATCTACACAAAAGTTTATAGTTATAGGCTTAGTGCAAGTCATTGACAAAATACAGACTGGATTATTTTCAGTATAACTGGGGTACATATTATCAGACTTTTTTTTTCAAAATGGACTCCAGGTTTACCTCCTTTTTGGCTCTATGTTGGATATCCTATCTTGCCATACCCCAGTCATGCCATGCTTCTTGATATGAATAGATAGGAAATAATATATATTTTATACATTTCATTTTAGTAAATTGTGTGTAATCTGTAATATGTTATGATTTATTTTTAAATGTTTAGGCCATAAGGCCTGGCCAAAAGCACACTTACTTTTTTATTTAAGTTTTGCTACACATGGTACGTATTTTTTAATCAGTTATTTAAACTTTTTTTTTTTAATAAGGAATGTCTTGTTCCTCTTTGTGGTGAAGAAGAAAATTCTGTCCATATCTTAGATGAAAAGTTATCAGACAGTTTTCAAGATTCAGAACAGCTAGTAGAGAAGATATGGTATCGTGTAATAGATGATAGCTTGGTTGTTGGAGTGAAAACTACATCATCTTTGAAGCTGTAAGTAAATTCCAACATGGAAACATTATCTTGATGCTCCAGAACAGTACTGTCCAATAGAAATTAATGTAATCCACACGTGCAATTTTAAATGTCCTAGAGGCCATATTTAAAAATGTAAATAGAAGCAAGAGAAATTAATTTTTTTTGTTGTTGTTGAAACAGAATCTTACTCTGTTGCCCAGGATGGAGTGCAGTAGCGCGATCTTGGCTCACTGGCAACTTCCACCTCCTGGGATCAAGCAATTCTCATGCCACAGCCTCCCCAGTAGCTGGGATTACAGGCACGCACCATCATGCCCGGCTAGTTTTTGTATTTTGAGTAGAGATGGGGTCTCGCCATCAAACTCCTGACCTCGGCCTCTCAAAATGCTGGGACTACAGGCATGAGCCACCACGCCCAACCCCCTATGTTTTATTTAACCCAATAAGTCCAAAAGATTGTCATTTTAACATGTAATTAGTATAAAAATTATTAATGAGATATTTTGCATTTATTTTTCATACTAAGTTTTTAAAATTTGGTGTGTATTTTATAACACATCACAATTCCGACTAGCCACATTTCTAAGTGCTTAATAGCCACATGTATCTAATAGCTACTCTCTTGGCTAGCACAGCTCTGGAAGTATCTCTTTTACACAAATGCACTGAGTTAATAATATGAAGAGGATGAGGTTTATGAAATTAAGATGCTGCAGTCTCAGGGTGGAGATAATCAAATAGTATAAAGAACTTTCTAATCAAAACATTTAAAAGTATTAGGGATACTTAGAGACTATTGAACAAAGTGAATAGGTAAAAATTTAGTTAAATAACAAAGTATCTTCCTCTGATAATAGACAGTTTTCTCTTTTGGGCTGCTAAAATTATGGATAGAGAAGTAATGTGCATGCCATGTATATTTGCAGTCTAACAAAGAGCTTTTTAGCCAAAACAGGCTAAATACAGGCATTACAGTAACTACACCGAATTTGAGCCACAGATATACAAACAGAGAGAAACCAGGTAGTGCCTTGTAATAGATGATGGCAGTATATTTGAGCAGCCTAACACAGTACTGCTTATCTAGTGGATTTGAGATATGGATTTATTCTTTTGTTTCAGTGAATTTCTAAGCTATTTTGGGCTGGTTGATCATCTGGGTTTTTCTTCTCCTTTCTTTAATGTGGTACTCTATATTAATCAATTTGATATTATAAAACCAGTCTTGCATTCTTGTGATAAGCAGTGTGTCACTGGATTTGGTTTGCTCTCCTTTGGTCAAGAATATTTGCATCTACATTCATGAGTGAAATTGGCTTGAAATTTTCTTGAATACTTGCCTGGTTTTAGTGTGAAGGCTATACTAGTTTATCAGTGAATTGAAGAATGTTTCCTTTTTTCCTGTTCTTTGGAACAGTTTGCATAAATTTGGAATTATCTGCTCTTTGATATTTGGTTTTAGTCGCCTGGAATGCAGTAGAAATCTGGCATTTTCTTTGTAAGGTGACTTTTTTTTTATTGCATTTTAGGTTTTGGGGTACATGTGAAGAACATACAAGATTGTTGCATAGGTACACACATGGCAGTGTGATGTGCTGCCTTCCTCCCCATCACCTATATCTGGCATTTCTCCCCATGCTATCTCTCCCCAACTCCCCACCCCCTGCTGTCCCTCCCCTATTTCCCCCTACAGACCGCAGTGTGTGATGCTTCCCTCCCTGTGTCCATGTGTTCTCATTGTTCAACACCCACCTGTGAGTGAGAACATGTGGTATTTGATTTTTTGTTCTTGTGTCAGTTTGCTGAGAATGATGGTTTCCAGATTCATCCAAGTCCCTATAAAGGACATGAACTCATCATTTTTTATGGCTGTGTAGTATTCCATGGTGTATATGTACCACATTTTCTTTGTCCAGTCTATCATTGATGGGGATTTGGGTTGGTTCCAGGTCTTTGCTATTGTACATAGGGCTGCAATGAACATACGTGTGCATGTGTCTTTATAGTAGAACGATTTATGGTTCTTTGGGTATATACCCAGTAGTGAGATTGCTGGGTCAAATGGAATTTCTATTTCTAGATCCTTGAGAAATCACCACACTGTCTTGCACAATGGTTGAACTAATTTACACTCCCACCAACTGTGTAAGAGTGTTCCTATTTCTCCACATCCTCTCCAGCAGCTGTTGTCTCCAGATTTTTTAATGGTTGCCATTCTAAGGGGCATGAGATGATATCTCAGTGTGGTTTTGATTTGCATTTCTCTAATGACCAGTGAATGATGAGCATTTTTTCATGTTTGTTGGCCTCATGTATGTCTTCTTTTGTAAAATGTCTGTTCATATCCTTTGCCCACTTTTGAATGAGGTTGTTTGCTTTTTTCTTGTATATCTCTTTTAGTTCTTTGTAGATTCTGGATATTAGCCCTTTGTCAGATCGGTAGATTGCAAAAATTTTTTCCCATTCTGTTGGTTGCCAATTCACTCTAATGATGGTTTATTTTGCTGTACAGAAGCTCTGGAGTTTAATTAGATCTCATTTGCCTATCCTGGCTTTTATTGCCATTGCTTTTGGTGTTTTAGTCATGAAGTCCTTGCTATGCCTATGTCCTGGATGGTTTTACCTACGTTTTCTTCTAGTGTTTTTATGGTGTTAGGTTTTATGTTTAAATCTTTGATCCATCTGGAGCTAATTTTAGTGTAAGGTGACAGGTAGGTGTCCAGTTTCTGCTTTCTGCACGTTGCTAGCCAGTTTTCCCAACACCATTTATTAAACTTGGAGTCCTTTCCCCATTGCTTGTTTTTGCTGCGTTTGTCAAAGATCAGATGGTTGTAGATGTGTGGTGTTTCTTCTGGGGTCTCTGTTCTGTTCCATTGGTCTATGTCTCTGTTTTGATACCAGTATCATGCTGTTTTGATTACTGTAGCCTTGTAGTATAGTTTGAAGTCTGGCAGTGTGATGCCTCCGGCTTTGTTCTTTTTGCTTAGGATTGTCTTGGCTATGTGGGGTCTTTTGTGATTCCATATGAAGTTTAAAATGTTTTTTTCCAGTTCTGTGAAGAAGGTCATTGGTAGCTTGATGGCGATAGCATTGAATCTATAGATTACTTTGGGCAGTGTGGCCATTTTCACGATACTGATTCTTCCTAACCATGAGCATGGAATGTTTCTCCATCTGTTTGTGTCCTCTCACATTTTGTTGAGTAGTGGTTTGTAGTTCTCCTTGAAGAGGTCCTTTACATCCTTTGTCAGTTATATTCCTAGGTATTTTATTCTCTTTGTAGCAATTGTGAATGGGAGTTCACTCTTGATTTGGCTGTTTGTCTGTTATTGGTATGTAGGAATGCTTGTGATTTTTGCACGTTGATTTTGTATCCTGAGACTTTGCTGAGGTTCCTTATCAGTTTGAGAAAATTTTGGGCTGAGACGATGGGGTCTTCTAGATATACAATCATGTCGCCTGCAAATAGAAACAGTTCGACTTCCTCCTTTCCTAATTGAATACCCTTTATTTATTTTTCTTACCTGATTGCTCTTGCTAGAATGTCCAATACTATATTGAATAGGAGTGGTGAGAGAGGGCATCCCTGTCTAGTGCCTGATTTCAAAGGCAGTTCTTCCAGCTTTTGCCCGTTCAGTATGATGTTGGCTGTAGGTTTGTCATATATAGCTTTTATCATTTTATGATCTGTTCCATCAATACCTAATTTATTGAGAGTTTTTTTAGCATGAAGGGCTGTTGAATTGAAGGCCTTCTCTGCCTCTATTGAGATAATCATGTATTTTTTTGTCTTTGGTTTCGTTTATGTGATGGATTACATTTATGGATTTGCGTGTGTTGAACCAGCCTTGCATCCCCAGGATGAAGCCTACTTGGTCGTGATGGATAAGCTTCTTGATGTGCTGTTGCAATCTGTTTGACAGTATTTTACTGAAGATTTTTGCATCTATGTTCATCATGGATATTGGCCTGAAGGTTTCCTTTTTAGTTGAGTCACTACCTGGTTTTGGTATCAGGATGATATTGGTCTTATAAAATGAGTTAGGGAGGATTCCCTCCTTTTGTATTGTTTAATATAGTTTCAGAAGGAATGGAACCAGCTCCTCTTTGTACGTCTAGTAGATTTCGGCTGTGAACCCCTCTGGACTTGGACTTTTTTTTGTTGGTAGGCTATTGATTGCTGCCTCAACTTCAGCCCGTGTTACTGGTCTTCTATTCAGGGTTCCAACTTCCTCCTGGTTTAGTCTTGGTAGAGTACAAGTGTCTAGGAATTTATCCACTTCTTCCTGGTTTACTGGTTTATGTGAGTAGAGGTTTTTGTGGTAATCTCTGATGGTAGTTTGTATTTCTGTGGTATCAGTGGTGATATCCCCTTTATTGTTCATATGTTCATCGTAGATATTGGCCTGAAGGTTTCCTTTTTAGTTAAGTCACTACCTGGTTTTGGTATCAGGATGATATTGGTCTTATAAAATGAGTTAGGGAGGATTCCCTCCTTTAGTATTGTTGTAATATAGTTTCAGAAGGAATGGAACCAGCTCCTCTTTGTACGTCTAGTAGATTTTTATTGCATCTATTTGATTCTTCTCACTTTTCTTTTTTATTAATCTGGCTAGCAGTCTATTTTGTTGATCTTTTCAAAAAACCAGCTCCTGGATTTATTGATTTTTTTGAAGCATTTTTTTGTGTCTCTATCTCCTTCAGTTCTGCTCTGATCTTAGTTATTTCTTGTGTTCTGCTAGCTTTTGAGTTTTTTTGATCTTCCTCCTCTAGCTCTTTCAATTTTGATGATAGGGTTTTGTTTTTGATCTTTCCTTGCTCCTTGTGTGGGCATTTATTGGTATAAATTTCCCCCTTGACACTGCTTTAAAGGTGTCCCAGAGATTCTGGTGAGTTGTGTCTTCATTCTGATTGTTTTCAAAGAACATCTTTATTTCTGCCTTCATTTCATTGTTTATCCACTTGACACTCAGAAGCAAGTTGTTCAGTTTCCAAGTGGTTGTGCGGGTTTGAGTGTGTTTCTTTATTCTGAGTTCTAGTCTGATTGCACTGTGGTCTGATAGACTGTTTGTTATGATTCCTGCATTTGCTGAGGAGTAATTTGCTTCCAATGATGAGGTCAATTTTAGAGTAAGTGTAATGTGTTGCTGAGAAAAACATATATTCTGTGGATTTGGGGTGGAGTGTTCTATATAGGTCCACTTGGTCCAGCTCTGCATTCAAGTCCTGGATGTCCTTGTTAATTTTCTGTCTCATTGATCTGCTTAATATTGACAGTGGAGTGTTGAAGTCTCTCATTATTATTGTGTGGGAGGCTAAATCTCGTTTTAGGTTGTTAAGAACTTGCTTTATGTATCTGGGTGCTCCTGTCTTGGGGGGCGTATATATTTAGGATAGTTAGCTCTTCCTGTTGGATTGATCCTTTTACCATTATGTAGTGTCCTTCTTTGTCTCTTTTGATCTTTGTTGGTTTGAAGTCCATTTTATCAGAGATTAGGATTGCAACCCCTGGGGTTTTTTGTTCTCCATTTGTTTGGTAAATCTTCTTCCATCCCTTTATTTTGAGTCTGTGTGTGTCTTTGTATGTGGGATGGGTTTCCTGAGTACAGCACACTGATGGGTCTTGACTTTTTACCCAGTTTACCAGTCTGTGTCTTTTGATTGGGGCGTTTAGGCCATTTACATTCAAGGTTAATATTGTTATGTGGGTATTTGATCCCGCCATTTTGTTACTGGCTGTTTTTCTTTCCTATTAGTTGACTCATTTTCTTCATTGCGTTTTTGGTCTTTGCCAACTGGTTTGCTTTTGCAGTGACTGGTACTTGTTCCTTTCCATGCTTAGTGTTTCTTTCAGGAACTCTTGTAGGGCAGGTTTGGTGGTGATGAAATCTCTTAGTAATTGCTTGTCCATAATAGATTTTATATCTCCTTCACTTACGAAGCTTGGTTTGGCTGGATATGAGATTCTGGGTTGAAAGTTCTTTTCTTTAAGGTCGTTGAATATTGGCACCTACTCTCTTCTGGCTTGTAGGGTTTCTGCAGAGAGATCTGCTGTGAGTCTGATTTGCTTCCCTCTGTTGGCGACCTGACCTTTCTCTCTGGCTGCCCTTGGCATTTTTTCCTTCATTTCAACCCTGGTGAGTCTGGCGATTATGTGCATTGGGGTTGCTCTTCTTGAGAAATATCTCTGTGGAGCTCTCTGTATTTCTTGAATTTGAAATTTGGACTGCCTTGCAAGGCTTGGGAAGTTCTCTTGGATAATATCCTAGAGCATGTTTTCCAGCTTGGATTCATTCTCCCCATCATATTCAGGTACACCGATCAAGTGTAGATTAGATCTTTTCACATAATCCCATATTTCTTGGAGGCTTTGTTCATTTCTTTTCACTCTTTTTTATCTTGTCTTGCCTTCTCTTTTTATTTCACTGAGTTGATCTTCAATCTCTGATATCCTTTCTTCTGCTGGATCAATTCAGCTATTAAACCTTGTGTTTGCTTCACATAGTTCTGTTGTGTTTTTCAACTCCATCAAGTCGTTTATGTTCTTCTCTAAGCTGGTTATTCTAGTTAGCATTTCATCTAACCTCTTTTCAAGGTTTTTGGTTTCTTTGCATTGAGTTAGGATGTGTTCCTTTAGCTCAGAAAAGTTTATTATCCACCTTCCGAAGCCTGTTTCTGTCAATTCGTCGCACTCTTTCTCAGTTGTGTTGTGTTTCCGTGTTGTTGAGGAATTGTGATCCCTTGAAGGAGAAGAGGTGTTCCGGTCTTTGATGGTTTCATCTTTTTTGCACTGTTTTTTTCCCAGTTTTGTGGATTTACCTGGCTGCAGTCTCAGGGAGCTGCTTGATGAGGTCGATTGTCTGCCTGTAGAGGCACTACTGGGTTTCTAGGGACTCCTTCAGGTTACTAGGGAAGCTTCCTGTTCTTTTTTGTTTCCACTGGGGGTTTAGGCCTGCCTCTTCCACTGGCCTAGCAGCACTGCTGGGTGGTCAAGAATGCAGTCCCGTTGCTATGTAGGCTTCCTGTGTTTTTTGTTAAAACATGTAGCCCAGCCCCATCCCTCTAATGGTGGGTTGTGCCTTTCCTCCACTGGGCTGGGTCGTTCAGGGTTCATCTTAGACTGTGGCACTGGCTGTGCAACCCACTAGAGTTAGAGCTTCAGCCCTCTGGAGTTTGTCAGGGAGGGTAGGGACCCACCCAGCCACACTCAGCTATCTCCCCCTTTTAGCTTCCTCTCTCTCAGGTCATGGGGTAGGGGCCCGCCCAGCTGCTTCATCCATCCATCCTCCCTCTTACAGCTCCCTCTCTCTCCGGGTGGGGGAGGGGGTGATAGCTCGGTCCACAGGCTCTCCAGGCTGACTTTTGGGCTTATGCATCTTTTTAGGTCTGTGTGTCAATCTGAGACACCATCCTGGATTATTATTCAAGTCCACACTTGTAATTCCTGGCATTTGACTGGCAAAGATCCCCTGTTCTGTGTATTGCTGAGGCTTTGGGGGAAGCACTGTATCTGGACCGGTGTGCCAGAGGGGGAGCCTCTGTCTCACCGGTCAGATGCACTTTCTGGGTGAAGCAGCACCCATCCCCACCTTGGTCTGCCCTGCCTGGGCTTTGCTCACTGTTGGACCAGACCCGTTGAAATACACCTGGTACCTCGGTTGGAGCTAGGAGATCTCTGGATTTCTGCGTCTCTCTCAATGGGTGTTGTGTGCCGGAGTTGTTCTGTTCAGCCATCTTGGAGCAGAGTTATCTGTATTCCTTTCACTAATTTTATCTTCAGTTCTTTCTGTTCAGCTATTTAATCCAGTCATTGAGTTTCTAAGTTTTATTATTATTTATATTGTCATAAATTTTATTCTTTCTCTTTTAGATCTGCCTGGTAATTTTTATTCTTATATTTTTCATCTTGTCTTTTTTTCATATACTAAGCAGAATTACTTAAAAATGTTTTTATATATAGAAAATTTCAAATGTACAAAGAGAATAGTGTGGTGAACCCTTCTGCCCATAACCCTGCTCCAGTAATTATCAACTAATTGCTAATCTTGTTTCATTTATACGTCCATGCATTCCTCACCGTCCAGCCCCCAGATTATTTTGAAGCACTCAAAGGCATTATGTTATTTCATCTGTAGCTATTCCAGTGTATGTATCTAAAATGTAAGAACTTAAAATATATATCTAATTACACCCTAAAAAATTTATTCCCCCAGTAAATGGTCAAATATACCATTTGTCTGAATTTTAAAATATTTTTTCAGATCATGAGCCAGATAACAACTATAAATTGGACTTGACTGTTCTAAGTCCCTTGTTATCTGTAGGTATCCTTTTTCTGTCTTTTCTTTTTTCTTGCAAACTGTATTTTATAGAAGCCAGGCAGTTTGCCCAGTGAAGTTCTATAAACTGGATTTTTCTGATTACATCCTGTGGTATTGCTTAACATGTTTCTCTGTCTCCTGTATTTTCTCTAAATTAATGGTTAGATCTAGAGACTGGGTCAGAATAATGCCTGAATTTTTGTTAACAGAGTACTTAGTAGTATTGCTTTCTTCCATTGGGAGTTATATAAAGTGTGATCATTTTTATTTTGTGATGTTAGCAGCTGTTGATGCTTATTGCTTAGCTCCATTGTTTCAGTAGATTTTACAACATGGTGGTATTCTAATTCTATTATTGCTGCTTTATTTATTAGCTACAATACTTCTATGAAGAAGAACTCCTTCATGTCAATTATTTAGTTAGACTCTCAAATGTAGTTTGTAATTTAGAAATCAGAATTTGAGTGCAAGAGGTGCTTATTTATCTTGAGTGGGTTATTGCTTCTAGGCCTTTTTAGTAAGCAGAGGTAGAAAATAGGTTTTTTGCTAGTTTGGTTTGTTGTGGTTTGGTTTGTTTAGAGATAAAATATAGTGTAAGTCCATGCTGATACTTCCAATTCAGATTAAGGACTTTAAGATTTTACTTAATCATCATGATGTAAAAACTTCAAGGTTTTTACTTATCATCATGATGTATCTTCTTTCTCCCCTGTTGAAAATCCCAATTCTCAAAAAGAAAAAAAACCCAGAAAATCCCAATTCTCTGTTGCACCTACTACATAATTACTCTACAGTATATATGTAATGTTCATAAAACCGCACTACAAACAAAAAAATAGTTCAATTAATGCAAATTAAGATTTTTGAGTTCTTTTTAAATCTTTAGTATAACCCATTAGACATACAGTCAAATTCCTGTATTAAAGGAGTTTTCTGTATTAAATGCCTACATTAAAGTCCTTTCTTTGGTCATGTCACCATTCTTACCTCATTTTACTTGACAAACTTTGACAGTGCTGGAATGTACTATAACAAGCCTGCATACATTTGTAAATTATTATAAATGTAGATATGGAAAGAACTCCTGAGGGATAAACAATATTCTCAATGAAAAAGCAGATTTTATTCAAGTCATTTAGAGGAACATAAAATACCATTTTTAGTTTAGAGCTATTTGCATTCTAAGGTATTACCTAAATAAATTGTTAAAAAATAGCAAGTAGGTTTTTTCTTGTTTAGAGAGAAGAGAAAAAAAAGACCTACCTCAAAAATAAAATCCTGGCATTATTTTGCCATTCATTTATCTTAAAAAAAGTTTTTTCTTACTTTAATTTATCTTACTATAATTTCTAATGCCATTCTTCTATCTTAAAAATTTTAGTTTCCTAAAACCTAGCATATTTACAATGTTTTTGCTTGCCTTTTTAAAGAGAAGTGTTATCACAGGACCTTTAAAAATGTGTTTGACTTTTAATCTTAACTTTCTGATATATTTTACATTTGAAATAATGTTTTCTAGGAAAGGAAAGAATAAGCATTTTTTTGTTTACTGTTGTTTATATGACATTTAATTATCAATTTGATTTTAAAGAATGAGCTTTTAGATTAAACCAAAATCTGGGTTTTTTACAGGTCCCTGAATGATGCGACTTTGTCACTGTTAATGGATCAAGCCCATGGCTCTGGATTTCGGCTTCTTAAGTGCCAAAATAGAGTGATTAAGTTGAGTGCAAGACCTTTCCCAGCACCATACTTGATGCCATGTGAAATAGGATTGGAAGCAAAAAGGGTCAAATTGACCCCTGATAGCAAGAAAGAGGAAAGCTTTGTTTGTGAACACCCATCTAAGAAAGAGTGTGTACAGATAATTACTGCTATAACATCTCTTTCACCACTTTTAGCATTTAGCAAATTTTGTTGCACTGTACTGCTACAAATTATGGAGACGGAGAGTGCTAACTGCCTTAAAAATCATTATGTTGTGTGTGGCAGAGTTGTTTTAAGTCTAGAAGATCTTTCAGCTGGGAAGTACCTACTGACATTTCCAAAGAAGAAACCTATAGGTAATTTTCTTGGCATTTTAAAATTATATATTTAATTGAATTAGAAAATTTTAAGAATTCTGTTTATCTGATAATGGACAGAGTTTAATTATAGAGCTTGTGACTCCTTTTGTAGAGCACATGGAAGATCTTTTTGCACTTCTCGCAGCATTCCACAAATCTTGTTTTCAAATCACATCACCTGGCTATGCCCTGAATTCAATGAAAGTTTGGCTCTTAGAACATATGAAATGTGAAGTAATCAAAGAATTTCCAGAAGTATACTTTTGTAAAAGGCCAGGAAGTTTCTATGGGACACTCTTCACCTGGAAACAAACAACACCATTTGAAGGGATTTTAATAGTCTGTTCCAGGTAATGCACATTAAATTGTAATCAGTACAGAGAAGTTAGTATGTATACGTGTGATCAATGTATGGTTCAACCGTGATCCACATGTGGGGTTCAGTATTATTGAGAAATATGTCAGAGCCATGGCCTAGTGTGAATGGACACATTGGCTTCATTTATGAACTGAAGATCTCTGTTTTAATTTTATGTTTGTTTTTGGCTTTTTTTAGTGCCTAGTAATTATTTTTGGATTTCCCATTACCTCTTCTCCACAATAAAATTTAAAAAAATAATATATTGACCTTATTACTCAGCAAAAAAATATTTTAATTGGAAACAATCTGATTGACTTGATATGGGATATGTATATCTGATTGCTGTAGTCTAAATTTTATCAATGCTCACGTGCATAATTGGTTCTATTTATCATTATGGTGTTGATAAATGAATATTGATTACTGCAGTATATTGTAATGACTGCTTTGTGCTGTCCTAACTTTTGTAATATTATGTTTTTTTTTTTAATTTTAGGAATCAAACAGTTATGTTCCAGTGCCTTCATAATCTCATCAGAATTCTTCCTATAAACTATTCCCTCAAAAATCTAAAATCAGGAAGTGAGAATTTCCTAATTGATAATATGGCATTTACTTTGGAGAAGGAACTAGTCACCCTTAGTTCTCTTTCTTCTGCCATAGCTAAATATGAAAGCTATTTTGTACAAAGCTGTGAAGTGAGCAAAGGAAAGAGTAGTGTCATCGCGGCTACTTTATCAGACAGAAGGGAGGAAATCCATCCCTACAGAAAAAAACTTCAGAGAGAAAAGAAGAAAATGTTGCAAACGAACCTAAAAGTGAGTGGTTCCCTTTACAGAGAAATAACTTTCAAAGTAGTTGATGTTCAATTGAAATCAGACTTTGCTGCACAGAAACTGAGTAATTTATAATTATAATCTCAATTTGATCATAGTTTAAAATATGTTTTCACCATCACATAAGATGTTGGTTCTACTTGCTACATGCCTCCTTTGTAAAAATAAACACTGAGGCTTACTGTAGTAGAATCTTCAGTTTTGATGATGCATAAAATAAACATAGGCGGTTCTCAATTAGGGCCATTTTAGGTCCCTCTCCTCTACCCCTAAGGGGCATTTGGCTATGTTTGGAGATATTTTTTTTTTTTTTGGTTGTCAGAAGTTGTGGAGTCAGGAAGGGGTGAGGCAGGGGTGCTATGGGCGTCTAGTAGATAGAGGAAACCAGAGATGCTACTAAACCTCCTACTATGCACCAGACAGCCCCCCTACAACAACGAATTATCCAGCCCAAAACGTCAGTAATGCAGAGGTTGAGAAATCCTGTCTTAGAATTACTTAAGAGAAGACTGAAATGGTATAATAGTATTTTGGTCTAAATCTTTTAAAAACTTCATTTCTTTCTTGTTGTCTGCTTAGTAAAACCTAGCCTGTAAAAATATACTTCAGATAGATGAATTAAGCAAGGTGGTCAGGATCCACAATTTTCTGAAATATCAGTATTTCTCCTACAGAAATTTAAATGGCAGATTGTCTGGGTGAGACCATTAAAATTAAAGTTTTTTAAAACCCTTGTCAATTTGAATGTTATTAGAAAGCTGCCCAGAAATTATACAATTTCTGGGCAGCTTTCTATAAGAATGTGAAAATTGTAAGACATTTTTCTGAAAAGCACATCTCTTTCAAAAAGCTAAGTATACCTCACAGGCTACTGTTTAAATTAAAAAATGAAAATGCTTTTAAGCTATCTGAAATTCCAACTCTAGGCAAAGTTAAAATATGAAATTCTGATTAAAGTAACGTAAAGAATATGGTACTCCTTAGGGACTGAGAAATCTAAAAATAAATGGAAATTCACTTCAGTTAAGAAGTGATTTATAACGGGTCCAGTGAGATACATTTCAAAGGGATAAAAATTTAAGCTAGTCTTTTCTTTGAAAAATAAGAATTCTGAAATAATAAGAGAGCATCAGAAGAAAGAAAAAGACACAAAAGGATATGGGCCAAAATAAATGTTCCTGATCCTTTTTGCTCTATAATCCCTAAGTGAGATGCAGGTTTCCATCTCAGTTGAAAGAAATAAAGATGAGTATAGAAAGTGACATCTTGTGCTTGTAGCTGTGAAGTGCTAATTCTCTCATGCCTTAGAAATGCTTATACCTAATGATCTTGTGATGCACATGGTTTTAGAGAATATAGGCTATTAGTTTCTTGTCTTGGTTTTTATGATTGTCCGTGTAATAGGGGACCTCCAATGGATTTCTAGTAATCCATTGCAAATTGAGATAGAACTCTACAGCTCTGTCCCTATGAAATGTCAATGGAAAATATTTCAGACTTTCTGCAAATGGAAATGGAATAAGTTCAGGATTAATTGTGGAAATCTAGAAAGAGTAATGTGTCATGTGCTGTCTGTTGAAACTGCCCATGACATGTTCTGAAAGAACAACCAAATATAAAATATAGGAAGTAAATTGTAAAGTAGAGGTGATGAAAAAACTAAACTGTCATGTTAGTAGGGTTGCTTAGAAAAAAACAAACTAAACAGGATTTAATTGTAATAGTTTATGTGTAGGGAAGTTAAGATACTAAAAATTAGCATATTGCTTATTTTTAAATTATCAATGCAACCAAAAGATGCAGATATGCCAAATAACTTACAAGTGAATTTTGTACTCCAGTATTTTTTTTAACTGACTATAAACTAGAAAAGTCAAAGTTGAAGAAATGGCATTGTGGCTACTTTCATGATTCAGTTGTCTTTTTGCATCTACAAGCATATTTTATTGAACTCTCTTGAGTTCAATCTATTCTCCTGCCTCAGCCTCCCAAGTAGCTGGCATTATAGGTGCCCACCAACACGCCTGGCTAATTGCTGTATTTTTAGTAGAGATGGGGTTTCACCTTGTTGGCCAGGCTGTTCTTAAAGTCCTGATCTCAGGTGATCCGCCCGCCTCAGCCTCCCAAAGTGCTGGGATTACAGGCGTGAGACACTGTGCCCAGCATAACCTTTTCAATGATAACATATATGTGCTAAAACATGAGTGGTTGCCTTTTAGTATATACTAGGGAATGAAAAATAACCCTTTCTAACTTCATTCTAACCTCCATTAAAAAACAACGTGATGATAATTTTAGTAGGTTTTTTTGTGAGCCTGACGAGATGGGTAAGATTTAGAATGACTAAGTAATTTGGTTATGTCAAGTGCAATAATAAAATCATCTTACAAATTATTCCAATAGGAAATCAATATGCTTTAATACTGGAAAGATTCTGGTAAAAGTAGTAAGTACACTGGGAGTGGGATGGGGGTAGGTGGTGATGGTGGTAGAATCTGAAGGAGACCAGGACCAAATGTGTTCTTAATAGTCTGCAAAATCTTAAGAAAAACTGAACATGCAGCACATGTGTTAGGCTCAGGAAGGGTGGGTAGGGCTTGGTATGCAGGCTAGTCAGGTGTTTCCTGAAGCCAGTGCCAGCTAGAAGGGGAATTAGCCAGTAAATATAAATAGTAGGAAAAAGAATTATCCACAAGATTTAGGGAAAGTGTTAAAGAAAATTATAATCCATACTTTATTACCAATTTTCCGTGGCATGCTGGGTAATGTCAATAGTGAATATTTATTGATCATTGTGTGCCAGATATTGATCTGAATGTGTAGCCCATATGATCCTTACAACCTTATAAAACTGTTTCCCAGGATAGTAGCTATGAGTCACATAGGACTATTTATATTTAAATCAATTAAAATACAATAAGGTTATATGTTTAGTTCCTTAGTTGATCCTAGTCACATTTAAGCTGCTCAGTAGCCACATGAGGCTAGTGGCTACCATTTGGTCAGTGCAGAGTAGAACATTCCCAGAATCACAGAAAGTTATGTTAGGCAATGCTGTTATAAGATGTATACTATTAACTAGCTCTATTTATTGATAAAGAGACTGAGACCAAGATAGGTTAAATAATATATCCAAAGTCATATAGCTGCTAAGGAACAGAGCCAGGATTCTAATCATCCAGTCTAGGTGTAGAACCTTTGCTCTTTCACCACCATGCTATTCTGTGTCAGTTTGTAGTAAAACACTGCCATGTCTTGACAGTTTTATATTACCAAAATCTATTTATTGTTAAAAAGGGAAAGTTGCACATAATACACAATTCTATAAAAGTATAAAGCTGTTAATATAATAGAATTGTTAGGGAAAATGTGGGCCACATCATCCAAAATCCTGTAATGAGCAAGTTATTAGAATTGGTTGATGGCTCCAGCTAAGTGTTATCTCTTGACTCCTTCCCTCCAATTATGTCTAAATACCTGTGTGTCTGTTTGCTATTTCCTCTCAGTTTTCTTTGTTAGAACCACCAGTCTCCAGAATTATTGCATTACCATTGCTGGTTCATGTTTTGGGGTTTTTTAAAATGAAAGCGTCAATTCTCTAAATAGCCTTTTGTTAGTTTCTCTTTGAGACATGTCTAGGTCCTGAGCTGAAGTGTTTGTCAGTGGCTAGCGATCACTGCAGTTGAGGGCTTGGGATTCCAGGGAAAGATGCAGGGTGTCTAGCCAGGAAAACTTACATTTTTATTCTCTATGAGTACTACAGCACTTGAGAAGAAAAGGAAGTAGAATTCTGTTTTCTATTTGTACCCTTTGCCTACTCTAATCATTCCAAGTGATATGCCTGTAGAAAACATTTCACCTCTGGTGCCTGGCAACAGAGCGAGACTCTGTCTCAAAAAAAAAAAAAAAAAAGAAAAGAAAACATTTCACCTCTTGTAAATTATCAATAGTGTATAAAGTAGAAGGGAATATAGAGATCTTTCTTTCATTCAATCATGTGTCTATAGAGGTTTCATTGAATATATTCTCATGCACATCTAGGTGCCAGAGATAGATAAATTTAAGACTCTTCTTGAAGTAGTATTTTAATATAATGGTGTTTTACCTCATGATTCAGAAAGAAATATCTACACAAAGAAAGAAGTTCAAATCAGAGCACTTTGAATAGCAGAAAGGGGTCTGAAATATTTAAATCATGATTTTGAAGTCTTTCTTGATTGAAAAATTGGTTTATTATATTGGGGAACTGTAAAATAATTATATTTAAAGCTTTTTAGAAATAAAATTTGTTGTAAAAATTTAAATAACATAAGCATGTACATTAAAGCAGATAACTTTTAAAAATTGATTACCTGAATTATTTTGCCCTATTTATTTATTTAGTGTAGTTGAAAAACATTACATTTACCGTCCTAACAATTTTTAAGCATATAGTTCTGTAGTGTTACATATGCTCATGTTATTGTATAGCAGATCTCTAGAGCTTTTTCATCTTGCAAATCTGAAACTCTATACCCATAGAGCATTAATTACCTCTCTCTTTTCCACCAGCTCTTGGCAACCACCTTTCTACTTTCTATGATTTTAACTACTTTAGATACTTAATATGAGTGGAATCATACAGTATTTATATTTTTGGACTTGGCTTATTTTACTTAGCACAGTGTCCTTGAGGTTTATTCGTATTATAGCTTGTGACAGTATTTCTTTCTGTTTAAAGCTGCATAGTATTCCATTGTGTGTATATATATCACATTTTGTTTATCTGTTCATCTGTTGATAGACATTTAGGTTGCTTCCACTTCTTGGCTATTATGAATAATACTGCAATAAACATGGGTGTGCAAATAACTTTTTGAGATTCTATTTCCAGCTTTTTTGGATATATACACAGAAGTGAGATTACTAGGTCATATGTTAATTTTATTAATTTTTTGAGAAACCGCTGTACTATTTTTTATAATAACTACACTATTTTACATTCCCACCAACAGTGTACAAGGATTCCAATTTCTCTGTGTCCTTCCCAACACTTATTATTTTCTGTTGTTTTGATACTAGCCATCCTAATGGTTGTGAGGTAATGAATTATTTTGCCCTTGAGAGACCCTGGGTAGCCTTTTGAGTTTCCAGTTCAGTCACTTTTCTTTCTCTACATCAGTAGTTCTTAAAATGTGGTCCTGGAAGGAATAGCATCAGTGACATCTGAGAATTTATTAGAAATGCTAATTGTTGGGCCCTATCTCAAACCTGCTAAATCAGAAACAGAGTTGGGCGTGGTAATCTATCTTAACAAGCCCTCTAGGTTATTCTGATACACACTCAAGTTTGAGAACTGCTGCTCCACACTAATAATTCTCAGCCATGGTTGTATATAAGAATCACCCAAGGGCTTCTTAAAATGTTTTTCTGATCTTAAGCCCCACCTCAAAGAAAGATTTTGATCCATATGGTTTAGGGAGGTTTTGCCTTGAGCCTTGGCATCAGTTTAAAAACTCCCTAGGTTTTTTTTGTGTTTTTTTGAGACAGTGTCTCACTGTTTCCCAGGCTGCAGTGCAGTGGCACAATCTCGGCTCACTGCAGCCTCCACCTCCCGAGTTCAAGCAATCCTCCCACTTCAGCACCCTCGAGTAGCTGGGACCATGGGTACACACCACCATGCCTGGCTAGTGTGTGTGTGTGTGTGTGTGTGTGTGTGTGTGTGTGTGTGTGTGTGTGTGTGTGTGTGTGTGTGTGTGTGTGT